TCCTGCCTCAGCCTCCAGAGTAGCTGGGATTACAGGCACGCGCCACCATGCCCAGCTAATTTTTTGTATTTTTAGTAGAGACGGGGTTTCACAATGTTGACTAGGATGGTCTCGATCTCTTGACCTCGTGATCCACCCGCCTCGACCTCCCAAAGTGCTGGGATTACAGGCGTGAGCCACCGCGCCCGGCGTCTAATACTTTTTATATAGCAAAATATTGAATCTACTTTTGAACTAACAGTAGCTACAGAATAAATATTTTGGGTTTTTTTCCCTGACTTACACAATCAAATATCTTCTTTTATAATGAAGTAAAGATCAAGTTTAAGACATACTTTGTATTGGACCAGGCAAGGTGCCTCACACCTATAATCCCAGCACTTTGGGAGGCTGAGGCAGGAGGGTCACTTGAATCCAGGAGTTCAGGACCAGCTTGGGCAACAAAATGAGACCCCATCTCTACAAAAACAATTTTGTAATTAGCCAGATGTGGTAGTGTGCTCCTGCAGTCCTATCTACCTGAGAGGCTAACGCGAAAGGTTGCCTGAGGCCTGAGTCTGGCAGAGGGGCAAAAGCTGCAATGAGCAGTGATCGCACCACAATAGTGCCACTGCTCTCCAGCCTGGGAAACACAGCGAGACACTGTCAAGAAAGAAAGAATGAAAAAAAAGAAGAGAAAGAAAAGAAATAGAGAAAGGAAAAGAAAAAAGAAAGACAGAGAGAAGGAAGGAAGGGAGGGAGGGAGGGAGGCAGGGAGGGAAAGGAAAGGAAGAAAAGAAAGTAAGGAAAAGAGAAGAAAGAAAAGAAAGAAATAACGAATGAATGAACATACATTGTGTGCTACCTTAGCAGCATACCCAACATAGAAAAGCAACCTGCATCATCATGTCATATAAAGGTGAAGAAAACATGCTTATTAAACACTATATTCTGTAAAGTGGTCTGCCTATGAAACCATAGAAGAGAGTGCTAGCCCAGGCTTTGTAAAGCGCACAAGGAGCCCCTCATATGGATTTAGTTATTTAGTTAGTTATTTAGTTTTTTAGTTTTTCTATTGGATAAAATGTAAAAAAAGATTGGCAGTTGCATGTTGAACTTCTTAATACTTGCTTATCTAAATTTTAAACATGGCTAATCTTGGTAAAGTCAGGCACTGTTGAGAAGAGGGTTCTGAGAGGCCATACTAAAGTTTGGTCAAGGAGTCTTTGTCAACATGCATGCGTATACATATTTGTGTGTATGTATGTGTGTGTCCTTAGACATACTACATTTCAATGCCTGTTACATCCACATTGACATGCTGAGTAGGTCAATATATAAAATTAGAATCTAGAACATTTAAAAAAAATGTTAATGGGGAGATTGGAGGTTAGGCATAAATTTGAGGTTCAGAGCACATTGGTGCTATAATATGAAAGAAAAAAGGAAATCTGATGACTAAGTCTGGGCTTGGAACTCTGGAAGAAGAGGATCCAGTCACAGAGACTGCGGAGGAGAACTATAAAGAAGGAAGGTGAGCCAGTGATTGCAAATAACTTTTCACGAGTTTTACTATAAAGATATGCTAAGAAATCAGATGGTAGCCAAAGGGGAATAAGAATATATGGCTGTAGTTGTCATATTAGTTATACATATGGTTATACATAAAGCACAGATTCTCCCTCAGGGCCTTCACACTTGGCATTCTCTCTCCTTTCTGATCTTTCTGTTTGGATCATTCTCATCAACCAGTGTTCTACCTGATCACTATACAAAAATTTGCTGCCATCACCACTAACCTCTTTTCCCTGCATCTGTTTTATTTAAATCCATAAAAGTATCAATGCCTAATTGTATAAAATTTATTCATGTACTTATCATCTGTCTTTCCCATTGGAAGGTAAACTCTAAGAGAGGAACACCTGTCATATTCATTACCATAAACTAGAACTGTGAATTGCACAAAAGGTGCTCAATAAATAATTAATGCATGAATATATGACTGTTTTTACGGTTGTGTGCATGTGTGCACACAACCACACATACACATTTTTTTTTTTTAGATGGAGTCTCACTCTGTTGCCCAGGCTGGAGTGCAATGGTACAATCTTGGCTCACTGCAACCTCCACTTCCTGGGTTCAGGTGATTCTTCTGTCTCAGCCTCCAAGTAGCTGGGACTACAGGCACGTGCCACCATGCCCGGCTGACTTTTCATGTGTTTTTAGTAGAGACGGGGTTTCACCATCTTGTACAGTCTGGTCTTGAACTTCTGAACTCATGATCTGCCTGCCTTGGCCTCCCAAAGTGCTGGGATTACAGTCGTGAGCCACTGCGCCCGGCCCACATACACACTTTTATTGCACAATGACATTTGATTTATTTAATAATTAGAAAAAATAAAATTATGTAAAATCTTTTTGCCTGTTCATGTCATGATGCAGAGAGGCAAAATAACAGTATCACAATCAATAGTTTACCAAAGGTTTATTTCATATTTTAATAAAGTGTTCACTAAGGTAAATTTTCCTTTTTTTTTTTTTTTTTTTTTGGATTGTTTTTTTTTTTTTTTGCCCAGGCTGGAGTGCAATGGTGCATTCTCGGCTCAAGGCATCCT